AGCCTATATCAAGTAGAGATAAAATAAATAGCTGTACTGAATCACACACTTAAAAACACCCTAACACCCCTAAAGCACAATGTTATTAATTGAAATAATCACTTTTAGAATTGATATAATTTTGCAAATGATATGAAAGTGAAGTTGATCCAATGTGGTAAAAAATGAAATTATAGGAATCAACAAATTGATGGAAAGCATTTTCAAACTGGTTTGCATTGGTGTACACCTTCTGGTACATATACATATCTAAGGACTAGAGAATGTGTTAATTGGTTGGGGACACATCTGGGAAAGAAAATAAGGTGTGGCAGGATTTCAATGCCTAACTGTATCCATTTTTAGGACATTTTGTATTATCCAGCAGCAGGATAGATTCCTTTCTATTCACCACTGTTGGTTAAAATGTTTGTAACTTTTGATGCATCAATTCCAAAACATGACAAATGGATTCTGCCATAAAAGTCTGACCAGTGACCAGGTTGCAAGAAGCTATAATAGATTACTCCATAACAACACCACCAAACAGTCAAGAGAACCTTTTTGAAGTGTAGATTGAAACTTGGAGAAGACTTATGAGAGAACAAGTTTATTTACGTAAAGAAAGCCATGTTTCAAATTATCATACAAAACTGCTTTTCCTCAACAGTAAAAAATAAACAAAAAAGGAACATTTCCAAACAATACTAGCTGCTGATCATCAATCAAATCATGGGGTACTCACTTTCTGTATTTTAGTTACTCTTAAGTGTCTTATACAAGGTGGGGGGTTAATAATGGGGAAGTGTGGAATTATTCTCAAAAGAATATGTTAATAACAGAAAGAATGGGATAATCATTTAAAGCGTTAAAAGTGTTAAATTAATAAACAGGATGGTTTAAATAAAATCAGGAGTGTGAAAATTATTGTCAAAAAATTAACCCACCCCTTCTATTAATACCTTAAGAGTAGAATATTAGAATCTCTAAGCATATAAATGACCCAAAATGTTAAAAGTTCAAACCATAAATAATGACTACAAATATTAAAAGCTCTATTCATAAAAAAATCAATTATTAGAATCTTTACCGATAAAATCAAAAAATCCAAAACTAAATCAAATCTTCTTCAATGTTGAAACTGTTGTTTTAAATGTATGAACAATTCAGACAAAGAAGAAAATCCTTTGCCAAACACCTGCCTGTGATATCACAATAATGTATAATAGCCAACACCAAGTTGTAAAAGTATTTGAATATGAGAAAGGTGACATGCCAACATAACTCTGGATTTTGCAAACATTCAGACAGTATCAACACTTATTTGACATAAATATATACTCACTTTTATATAAACAAGAAAAGCTGAAAAAAAAACAATCCTTGTCTGTTGGTACTAATGATGAGAACTGTATGAAAACTTCTAGCTAAATACGCATTATATATATGTGTGTGTGTGTGTGATTTGTTATGTTGTATTTTAAAAGAAGCTCAGAAAATAGCAAGTGCAAATAAAAATTTCTTCAATGACAAAATGTCCTCTGAGTGTCAAATATTCCAAGCCCTCTTTCCTCATTATGTGCCCTAGTAATTCCAACTGCTTCTTTCTAATTCTAAGTATCAATGTCCTTTTTGCTACCATTCTCTTTAAAATTTCATCATTGCTCAAATGTTCACTTGGTAGTATTCCCAGTATCCATTTATGGAAGCACATTTTTGTTGTCACAAGTCATTTATTCATCTCTGTTCAGATTGTCTAGCCTTCACTGCTATATAAGAGATCCAATAGTACATTATACAGAAACACATTTTTGTTGCATCAAGTCTCTTCTTCATTTGTGAGGAGATTGTCCAGCATTCACTAGCATATAGAAGGACCAATATTAGATTAGATTGTTTAGTTTTTGGAAGGCACCTTTCACTGTTGTAATATGCCTTTGAATTTTGGTGTTGCTGTCCCCTGTTACAAGACTTCTCAAATATTGAAATTTAAGAAAACGCCATATAACAACATACTAAAGAAAAGTGGATGCACACAAAGGCTAGAATACAGACCACCACAACCAAAACAGAAAAAGAAATATAATTTGGTTTAACCAACCATACAACAAAACCATCAGATCAAACATTGGCAGAACATTCTTAAATCTATTAGAAAAACACTTCCCTGTCACAAGCCCCTGAGCAAAAATATTTAACAAAAAAATATAAAAGTTAGCTACAGCTGCACTAAGATCATAGCACAAATAATAAAAAGCCATAACAAAAATAATAACCTGCAATAGTGCAAACAAAGACCCCCCAATGCAACTGCAGAGACAAAAGCACAGGCCCACTACAAAGAAACTGCCTACAAATGAACATAGTATATAAAGCTAAGGTAAATGCAAACAACACTAGAATGCATTACACTGGTGTCACAGAAGGAACATTCAAGCAAAGAAAATACACCTCTCATTCTCCAGCAGAAAATACTCCAGCAAGCACCAAACTATTAACATACATATGGCAACTAAAAGACCATAACATCACACCAAAAATAAGCTGGGAAATCATGAAAACCATACATGCCTACAATAACATATCAAAGAGATATCTACTTTGTCTTCACAAAAAAGTGACAATAATCACCCACACTCAACAAAAAGAATTGCTGAACCAAAGATTGGAAATAATTTAAAAATGCAGACATGAAAATAAATATCTACTATCACAGTTCATACCAAACAGATAATACCTACAACAAAACTGAACACAAACAGGAAAGAACCTACTGAAAAAATGGTAGAACACTAAAACACAAGAACACCAAAACACTGAAACCAACAAAACATAACCACCAACAGGAATCAATAACACTACTAACACTTTTACCGACACCACCACCATAAGAATTAGTACAGCCATCAGGAGAGGTAAAACCATTAACACTTCAATATTATTATTTTGTGATGACTATTATTACTTTCACTATTAGTATTGTTGTTACCACTTTATGAACCTACTGGAAATAACTACTAAGATTACTTTCACTATTAGTACTGGTGTTACTACTTTAAGAACAATCAGTTCATAACTATCTCTACCACCATTAGTACTGCTTTTTATCATTGTCATTATTACTATTATTATTGTTACCATCATAATCATTATTATGGTTACCACAACTATTATCATAATTACCATTGTCATTATTTTTTATACTGCTTTTATTATGATTATTGTTTCCATCATCATTAAGGCTAACTTTACTGTTTATCATAACCAATAACACATCAGTTATTATTAATATATCAATAATAATATCAGTTATTATTACCATTAACATAATCACAATAGTCAATAAAACACCAGCAGTTATTATTGCTAAAAATACAAATGTCATCATCATTGGATCCAAAGAGAAAACTCAACTTAACCAATGTGTGGTGATAGTGGACCCAGATCAATAAGTGTGGGTACACGTCTACATATTTGTGTGTATGTGTGAGTAAATGTGAGCATGTCTAACAGCATGGATGGCCAATCTGAAACATTTCAAGTCCACCCCCACCCGTTCCCTGTTAAGAGAACATTTCTACATATGTAACACTACAATCTTGACACAAAAATAGAATGAAAATTGTGTATATATGTGTGCTTGAACACATGGATGTGTAACTACATCTAACCTCAGATTATTTATATGGGTGTGTTTGTATGAACTAAAATGCATACACCTGTACGTATGTGTGTCCATGTATGTCAGAGTGTCATCCCGAACACAGAAGAAAATTCCCCCCTCCACCACACACAAATAATCAAACACAAATAAACATAAGTAGATCACTTTTGAAAAAAATAAACCAGTTTGTCTGATGCTCACAAAAGCATGAAACCTGGGTTACAAACTACTATCCATGCAATTGAATATATATATATATATATTAATATATATAAAAATATATATATATCTATTATATATATATATATATATATATTTATCCATATATATAAATATATATATATATATATATACTAATATATATAAAACATATATATATATATATATATATAAATATATATCTCTATATGTACTAATATATATACATATATCATCTATATATAATATACAGAGATATAAATATATATATATTAACATATATATTATGCATATATAAATGTATATATATATACTAATATATATACATATATTAATAATATATATATATTAATATACATATATATATATATATTAACATATATTAACATATATTATATATATATATATATATATAACATATATTATATATATATATATATATATATTGGTAAACTCTCTCATCACATTCGACGTATGAGGGTCAAGCAGCTTAGTTCCTTGGAACCTACAACCCAAATACCTGCACATATGATTTGATTATAGTGGTGAAAGCTTTGCGCAGAACCAACCAGAATTTTCGAAGCGCCAAATCCAGAGACCAGGTGCACTATGTACTACAAGGTCCTCAAACGCAAACGACTCTCTACAGATTTTGAATTCAGAGTTGTCCAAGGCTATAAAACCCAGTCTGTCCTCGGTATTAATCCTCCTCTTCTCCTGCAAGGGTATTAGCGCATAAGTGAATGTAAAGGATTCAACTGGAATTTGAACTCAGCTGCTCTGATTCCTCAATCCGAGTCACTATCCACTACTCCACCATCCATCCTATCTATCTATCCATATATAAATATATATATATATATATATATATATATATATATACATCAATATATATATATATATATATATATATATATATACATGCATCAATATATATATATATATATATATATATACATATGCATCAATATATATATATATATATATATATATACATGCATCAATATATATATATATATATATACATGCATCAATATATATATATATATATACATCAATATATATATATACATTCAAATATATATATATATATATATATATATACATCAATATATATATATATATATATATATATACATCATATACATATATATATATA